TAAGTTATTGCCCGTCATGCACAGTAACCCTAAAGGCACCAGGGTGGCGGTGCCACCGGCTTATATATATATATATATATATATATATATATATATATATATATATATATATATATATATATATATATATATATATATATAAATAAATATAGCTGCGAGCAGCGATGAAGGGCCAAAGCCGGTGGCACCGCCACTCCGGTGCCTTTAGGTAACTAAAGGCACCGGGGTTGCGGTGCCACCGGCTTGGGCCCGTAATCGCTGCTCGCAGCTATATTTATTATTATTATTATTTTTCTGCTACCTTTTGGACACTTTTGGAGGCCTTAACATGCTCAAAAACTCCTGAAACTTTGCACACATGTCAGAACCCGCGGCCATCAGGGCCGGGCTGAAGATGGTACCCGGGCGTGGCAGGGGGGCTCGACAGCGCCCCCTGGAACGGGGTCCGAAAACATGGTCCATAAATCAAACACGCTTGCATGTAATAATATGAAACTCGGTACACATGTAGATCTCCTCGTTTCATATATACTTCACACTCTTACTTTTTACCCCAGCCCAACAGGAAGTCGGCTATTTAGGGTTGTTGGTAAAACACACGCAATGGAATGTGAAATACTCCTCCTAGAGAATTCAAACAAACGGCACGAAACTCGGTCAGCATGAAGTCAAGACATTGAGGATGAAAGTTTGCGAGGGGATTTTTGATATCTCGAACGGTTTGGCCGTGGCGAGGAAACAAAATTATGGCGAGAAACGTAAAACAGGAAGTGTGTCATAACTACTGCATACATTAACTGATCTTGATGAAACTTCAACAGTGTGTTCGTTGTAAGAGCCCGATCACATGGATGTGACTATTGTGAGTCAAAGTTATAGCGCCACCAACTGGCAGCAGGAAGTGTGTCACTTCCTAAATGCTTTTGACAAAAGGGGGGGTGGGGTAGTTTTATCTACAGTAATAAAACTCGATATGTATATTGTACTCTTCGAGCCGGACAACTTTCTAATTTACCGTAATTAGCTCGGATCAACAGAAAGTCAGATATTTTTGTCTGAATGTGGATTTTTGGCTAAAAAAGCCTCTGATTTTTTACCCACTCCTCTTAAGTGGTTTATTCAATTCCCACCAAACTTTTTCAACATGATGAAAATACATTAAAGAAGCTAAATTGTGAATGGCTATTGAATATCTCAAATTGTTTTGCTATGGCGAGGGATTAAAGTCATGTCAAAAAAGTAAACACTAAAAGCCTCATATCTTCTAAAAAATTAATTATACACCATTTATTTCTAGATAAAATTACACAAATATCAGAACTAACCCCATTTTATTCTTGTTTTCAATTTAAGAATAATGTACAAGTTTAAAAACAGCCAGAATGTGCTATTCAGTTAAAAAATAAATACATCAAGTAATACAAAGGGCTATACTGCCCTCTTGTGTCCAAAATGATATCAACTCAGTACATAAAACTTTTTTATCAGGTATGGCTATTGTAATTAAATATAAATATATTAGGTATGTGGCTGTGAGGATCTTTTCCCACCGGTTAATCGACGTTAGACACCAGCGAGGCCTTTTAAATCGCTAATATAAAAGTGAAAGTAAAGTAAGGACGTCCGCACGGACATAGTGGTGGCGCTCGCAGTGCGCTCGAATGAATTTCTATGGAAGTGGAAATGAAAAAACGTTCGCTCTGTTCTGCTTGCTCGTCGCCATGGACGCGCACCGTTATGAATGCCAGTGCAGCCGCATACTTTTTAGTGTCACTTTAAAATTAGCACCATATCGGGGGCCGATTGTTTCCGGTTTTCAGGTAATACACAACAACAAATGAGTAAATGACAGATTCGCTTAAATAGGCGCTTTTACACAAAATATTCCATCATCATTTTTTTCAGTCAGCTCTTCACTCTCGTGATTAATGAATTTTGACTCCTGTTGCTGATCTTTGCTGCAACTTTCGTTCAGCTCACAATTTAGTAAGCAAACACGCTTCAAATGTGTTTTTATTTTATTTTTGTGTATACATATGTGTGTGTATATATATATATATATATATATAGCTTATGTTTCAAATATGAGTTAATTAACAATCGTTGGAAAGAATGATACTTTTAAACATATCACTAAACCGTCATTAGGTGTCGCCAGGCGACCGTCTTAATGAGCGAGTCATTGATTCATTCGTTCAAACGATTCGTTCGAACGGCTGAGTCATTCATGAATGAGACAGATTATGGATTGGTCGTTGAATCTTTGAGTCAACCGATTCGTTCAAAATGCTGAATCATTCAGTAATGAGAACGCGTTGCTGTGAGATCCTCGATGGTTCTGCTGTGATCTTTGTTTAACTATTTTCGCTGCTGAAACAGAAAAAAAGTCAATATTGCATCTAAAATGTAAGTGATTTGACGTGTGTGTGTGTGTGTGTGTGTGTGTGTGATTGTGTCTGTTACAGTGATTGTTTAACCCTTGTTAAAGTTTAGGCCTTGTCTTTTTGGATATATATCTTTTTATATATAAAAAAATAGCATACAACCCTGAGAATTTTCTCTCCCTCTCTCTTCGTCTCTGTGTGTGAGGGATTTGTCTATTGCTTTTAATGGAGTTCAAGGTTTCAGGGGCTTTTGGGGCTCTTAACGTGCTCAAAAACTATTGAAACTTTGCACACAGGTCAGAGCCCACAGCCATCAGGGCCGGGCTGAAGCTGGTACCCGGGCGTGGCAGGGGGGCTCAACAGCGCCCCCTTGAACGGGGTCCAACAATTTGGTCCATATATCCAACACGCTTGCATGAATTAATATGAAACTTAGTACACATATAGATCTCATCGGGCCGAACATCTTTCCCCTGGTCAAGTTTTACGCCAGCCCAACAGGAAATCGGCTATTATGGGTTGTTTGGAAAACGCTTGCTGTGGAATTTGAAGTACTACTCCTAGGCAATTCATTCAATCATTGCCAAACTCGGTGTGCATGAAGTCAAGACATTAAGGATGCTAAATTGTGGACAGATTTTTGATATCTCGAACGGTTTGGCCACGGAGAGGAAATTAATTTTCATGACTAAAAAAGGACATATAAAGTGTGTTATAACTTAGTTAGTTTTACCTACAGTTACAAAACTCAGCGTGTATATTCTTCTCCTCAAGCCGAACAACTTTCTAATTTAAAGTAATTAGCTCCGACCCTCAGAAAGTCAGATATTGTGGTTTGAATATGGTCATTTTCTCTCTCTCTCTGAGCCAATATGGCAAGCCGCTTTAACATTTAATCATTTTAACCTACTAGTCTCTATTTTCATGCTACTAGCACTTATTTTTTAGATACTAGTATCTATTCCATTAAGTACTAGTACTTATTCATTTGGGACTAGTGCTTATTCTTTAGTACTAGTGCCTATTCTTTAGATACTAGTGCTTATTCTTTAGATATTCTTTTGAATACGTATTAGTAGCTAATGAATAAGTACTGGTATCTATTTAATATGTACTAGTATCTAATGACTTAGTACTAGTATTTATTGAATAAATACTAGTATCTATTAATAGGTACTAGTATCTAAAAGGTCATTTTCTCTCTCTCTCTCTGAGCCAATATGGCAAGCCGTTTTAACATTTAATCATTTTAACCTACTAGTCTCTATTTTCATGCTACTAGTACTTATTTTTTAGATACTAGTATCTATTCCATTAAGTACTAGTACTTATTCATTAGCGACTAGTGCTTATTCTGTTTAGAATATTCAAAGTGCTTATTCAATTTTTATGCTTATTTATATTTTCAGAGCAGAAAATCCGATTTTTCTGCTTATTCAATATTGCATCTAAAATGTAAGTGACTTGACGTGTGTGTGTGTGTGTGTGTGTGTGTGTGAGAGAGAGAGAGAGAGAGAGAGAGAGAGAGAGAGAGAGAGAGAGAGAGAGAGAGAGAGAGAGAGAGAGAGAGAGAGAGAGAGAGAGAGAGAGAGAGAGAGAGAGAGAGAGAGAGAGAGAGAGAGAGAGAGAGAGAGAGAGATTGCTACCTGCTTAAATTAAATTAAGATTGTATGTTTGGTAATTGAACCTAAATACATTTAAAATTAATGTGCTATATTTCAGATCAATATATTTGTTTTCCTTCATTTTAATCAACACTAACTTTATTCTCATCTGAATTATAAATAACTTATTTCTGTATAAAATAAAAAATCCCGAATAATCCAGACCAACCAGAGCGCACTATTTCTACAACATCATCAGTGCTGAAGCGGAACTACCAGAGCCGTTCGGCAGATAGCGAGCAGATATTTTGTGTCACGTCGTGCACAATAACCCTAAAGGCACCAGGGTGGCGGTGCCACCGGCTTTTTATATATATATATATATATATATATATATATATATATAAATATAGCTGCGAGCAGCGATGAAGGGCCAAAGCCGGCGGCACCGCCACCCCGGTGCCTTTAGGTAACTAAAGGCACCGGGGTTGCGGTGCCACCGGCTTGGGCCCGTAATCGCTGCTCGCAGCTATATTTATATATATATTTTAGAATTGTTTTTACATTCTGTTTAAGACTAATTTTAGACTAATTTTAAGGATTTAAAGAAGTACACTTATATAGTTATATTATTATTGTTTTATTAATGACTTTAGCTCTATAGCAGAAAAGGGATGGATTTGTAAAATTGTGTTCATTTGATCCTGTTTCCAGAGAGACTTGTGTTACTAGTGACCTTGTATTATTTATTTTGTCTTTTTCATTCTTTACAATCACCATTAATCAGTACTGGTTTATTCATATCCATATATAATAATTTGCATTTATATGTATTTTTGCTTTGATTTGGTCTTCGTTTTAGAATGTTTCTGTTTGATGGATGAATTATTCAAGAACATCCATGTGAAGAACAAAAAAAGAAATAATAGAGAAATAATTCAAAACCAAAATGTGTTTATTTAATAGATTATGTACTATCCGTTTGAGCTGAATGTTATTTTGTGTATTACAGGTTTGGCTGCAGCATAAGCCATGGCTTACTTCTTCAAAGGAGCGGTTACAAGTACGTGTGCCCTCATATCACATCTCTCTCTCTCTCATTCTCCCTCTATCTTGCGCACATTCATTGATAAGACTGTTGTAATGCTGACCTGGTGTTTGTCATAGGTTCTCCGATTAAGACCAGGAGGCAGGAGGCTGAACATATTTGTCACAGGTACGTACGAGCATGTAGACAAGCAGCAGCAACATATCTTTATAGGTTCTTCCTTGCTATTTTCTTTGTATAGTATAATGCTGTTTCTCTTTTCAGTCTTGACGTCTCCCACTTCTCTGATTCTTCCTATGAGTGTTTTTCCACCAATCCGCTGACAGGCTCTGTGTGTGCGTGTCGCCGAAGCCCCCGCCTACTAGCCAACGGTTATTATGTACTGACAGAGGACAGTTTTAGCACAGACGACGAGGGTAACGTCACCCTGACTCCCTCACACACCAGCGTCTCATACAAAGAGAATCTTGTCCGGTGAGATTCATGACAATGTTTGTTTTTGTTGTGTGTGCTGTGAGTATGAATGAGCTGGATTTCTTAAAACTTTAAATGTTTGTTTCTGGATTTCGTTCCACCTATGCTAAATACATTACACATTTTCAGTATTTTCACAATATTGTCTTGGCTCTCGTACTTGATTTCTTAATTAACCCTCAGAGAGCCAGCAAAGTGGAATTGCAATGTTTGTTTAAAAGCAATTATTTAATACCTTGCTTTCAAAAAATATTGGTAACTAAAAACTACATATAACAGTACATGACACTCTGAAATTCATCAAAATAGTTTAAATGCCACAGCTTGCTAAAGTCACACAATATGATGCAAGTCAGTTGACACACTCTTTAATTTGAATCAATTTACACATTTAGAACAAATTAATAAAAACACATTTGTTTATAAAAAAACACATTTAGAACAAATGTATTTGTTTACTTTATCATTTGTTTATTTATTATCTATTTAGTATTTGACATCTAATATTTAAATATATATATATTTTTTTTGCCTATGTCTAGTGATAAGAAATGCTTACATGCAATGAAATTTTTAATGTACTTGAATTCTGTGAGTGTAGCAAAAATGAAATTCTGGCCATTATGGGTCAAATTTTTTCTTTTGTTATCACACAATTGGAGCCTATTCGATGAATGATGCAAAAACATTTTTTTTTCCAGGTGATTTCTTAGAAGTATTGTCATTATTGTCTCATTTAGGACTATATAATAGCATATACTTTAAATTACTGTAGGTGGTATTAAAAGTACTATATTATATTTAAAATATGCTTTGAAATGAATATTTATTGCCACATTTAAATTGTTTTAAACTTCTCATGACTGTATCTTTACTGGTTCAAAAAATGTATTATATTTCAAATACATTGTGAATTCAAAACTTTTACTTACTGTATCAAAAAATAATGGTAACATTTTGCAACCCTAAATGTTGCAATTTTTCAGCATTTTTACAAATTGTACCCCGACGCAAATCTGCCTTAACAAAATAGTTTTTATGATGTGTAAAAAGAATACATCATAAATATCAATGCTGGAGTCTATGAGAGTTAAAAAGCAACTTTAGATTTGGCAGGATAATGAAACCTTAGTGTGTGTGAGTGTGTGTGTGTTTAAAGGTGCCCTAGAATGTTTTTTTTTAATTATTTTATAATGTTTCCTGGGTTACCCTTATAATGTTAGTATGTTTTTTAGATAAAAAATATTCATAATTTAGAAATAAATGGCATTTTTCCTAGCCTGCTTTTAGCCTCTGATTTGAACACTCTGTTTGAAGGGGCGTGTCTGCTGTGGGATTCAGTGTAACCGCGGCCACTGCTGTGATTGGCTGACATGCTTGCATATGAAATAGCAACGCATTACATGTGAAACTCTCCCGAATACTTTTACTACTACTATTATACGTTTTTACTATAACAGCTATCGAGATTAACGAATCGTGAGATGTTTTTAAAGTATTTAGATCTATTCCCATCACATAAAATGTTGCCGTGATGAGCATTGAGCAGATGACAGTGTGTTGATCGCGAGAATGAAGATCTTATCATTGCAAAGCAGTTTCTGCACTCTCTCTGCTTTCACCAATGCAAACACGATGATGTAAATACAGTAAGAGCGTCGTTGTGCAGTAACGTGCGTCATTGAATTCATAACGAGTTTGGCAAGTGTCCAGATAAACTCGCGCTGTGTGGAAAGATTGTTCTTTGATCGCTTTCTGTATATAATTTGTTCACAATTTAAATACGATTATTTTCATCCTACTAAAAGAAACGATGTGAAGCTGATATTTTAGTCACTGGCTTGACTTACTGATGCATAAACAGTATTGAACGATTTTGAGAGAAAGATTACCTGTCTGAACTTGAACAATTACATCAGAAAGTGTTGCTTGGTAGCTCGATCCGAGGCCAGCTCTGTATTGGCCCAAGTTGAGGAAACAGTCGGTGAAATGTTTGGAAATTTCCAGAGAAAATAAAATTAACCCATTGTTTCTTCAGAGGCTCAGATGAAGGAACTAAAAAATACTTTTGTGTTCATGTGTACATCCACACTGAGCAACTGCCATGCTTCGGCTGCGCAGTTCCGCCTGGCATTGAGGGCTGGCATTATGCAAATATTTGGAGGCGTACATATTAATGATCCCGACTATTGCGTCACAGTCGGTATTGTGTGGAGAACCGACCGTTTTTCAGGGGTGTTTTTCATAAACGTGAATTAAATGAGAACGCGAAAACAGTCCAGTTTGAGATTCACTCTATGTCATGTCCATGCACTGAACTCTTGTTATTTGACTATACCAAGGTAAATTCAATTTTGAATTATAGGTCACCTTTAACCTACATTGTAAGGACCAAATGTCCCCAGAAAGTAAAAGTAAAGTAAAATGCTGACATTCTGGGGCCATTTGCTCGGGCTCCACGAGGAAAACAACTTATACGTTTTATCAAGTTTTTTGAAAATGTAAAAATGCAGAAAGTTTTCTGTGAGAGGTAGGGATAGGGGATATAATATTCAGTTCGTAAAGTATAAAAATAATTATGTCTATGAAAACATGGACACCCAACATGTTTGTTTGTGTGTGTGTGTGTGTGTGTGTGTGTGTGTGTTTTAGCATATTCAGACGAAGGCGCCGGGGAAAAAGGTCACTGGCCAGCCTTCTGAGTGATATGAGCCAATCATGCCAGTCCTGGCTGGAAGGAAGTGTTTTTAGAAGATCTGACCCGATTACCCCAATCCAGTCATCATCATGGGAAGAGCTGGACCACAGCTATGAGAAAGATACACCTATCAGCTTCACCTACGGTTAGGAGGATTCTAGTTTTGGAGTTAAAGAAATAGTTTAAAATAGTTGCCTGTTCACTTTTTGTAAACATGTGCGTGTGTGTGCTCCTTTATAGATCCCACAGATCCTGTTTCCTCTTCTGATAAAGTGCCTCCTCAGACTCAGCTTGAAGAAGAGGAGGAGCCACCGTGCGAGGCTTGCTCCGCCCGTGAACAATTCAGCCAATCAGTGAGCGGTCTCCTGGATGTTCCTCCCCCATCTGTCTGTCACCTCAATAGTTATAGCTCATCCAGCAAGACATGGTCAGGTGAGAAAAAAGGGCGAATGAAAGAACTACAGCTCCCATCCTTGCCTACAGTGAGTGTCTGATGAATATGGAAAATAAGAAACAGATTGTTATTATATTTTTGTTTCAGAAACTGTGCTCCGGAAAGTCCTTCTCCTCATCCTCACTCTGTGCCTCTGCATTGCCATCTCCTCTGGGTAATGAAAGTGTGTGTGTGTGTGTGTGTGTGTGTGTGTGTGTGTGTGTGTGTGTGTGTGTGTGTGTGTGTGTGTGTGTGTGTGTGTGTGTGTGTGTGTGTGTGTGTGTGTGTGTGTGTGTGTTAGAGAGAGAGAGAGAGAGAGATTTCTGTCTGTGTGGTTCATTAGTAGTGAAAAAGGAGCAGAGCTTTTCTTCTCATAGATTAATGACACCATAATCCTCACAGGTGGCTGCTGGGAAGTGTTTCTGCAGCCGTGGCATTCATGGTTCTGCTTTCATCTATATGTGAGTAACCAAATCAAGTAAAATAGCAAGCTTAGTCACTATTATTCTTCTGTAATTCTGACATATTCTTTAGTGGAAAAGTACACTTTGATGAATTGTTTTTTTGAGTTAACAGAATGAGCCAAGTTATTATATTTTTAAAATGACAAAGACAGACATTTCTTTTAAATAATGTGCTCGGATGGATTCATGCACAATAAGACCAGGAACAATATTTTTAAAGTAAAAACAAACAAACATTATTACATGTTGATTTCTGAATCAACATCCTTGTTGAACAACATAACAGAAATATGAACCAATCAGACTTAGCTGGCTGGTTGACATTTATATAATCAATCAACCTTATTTCTCTATTATTTTAGGAGTAAAATATTGTCAAATCATTTTCTCACCCTCAGGTATGTCTAAACCTGGGAGCGCAGTGCACTGGAGGAGAGCAAAGACTGAGGTGAGAATCTGCGTACAGACTCATGACTGTATGAAGCTTCTGTACTCAAGACAAACATGAGACTAAATAAAGAATCTAACATCCATTTTGTGTCTCTACATCAGGACATCACCTCCAGAAACGAGTGAGGAGGAACCATACACACATCTGTGTGAAGAGGAAGTGAGTGTGTGGACACACATCCTGCATCAGCATTAAATATTAGTTATATATCAGTTTTTGTAGTGGTATTTTCACTGATCAGCAAAAGAGTTCTGAATAATAATTATAGAAGAGTAAGTTTAACAGGACCAATGATGGCAAATTACTGTCACAGGAAAATAAGTATGCGTTTTAAAAAAGATGGACAGACATATCAGAACGATCATTGAGTGGAAGTTTAAGAATTTGATGAATTTTCCTAAATTGCATTCTGGGGGATTCTCTCCGAGTCAGTGGAGATTCCCTGCATGACAGAACGTAGAAGTAAAATGTGTCAGTCGTGTTTGTAAATGCATCAGCTTGGCTTGGTTGGGCTCTTAAACATGGTGACCAGGGCATCATGTGTTATTGCTCAGCTTGTTTAGTCAGATTATCAGATACTAATATTTTGCTGCAACACCCAGTTTAATATAATGGCTTTGCAGAAAATTTTTAACTTTTGAGAAGTTGTAGCAAAAGAACTGGCCGTTTAGCTTTACACAGATGCCTCATATTTTCAAGTGCCTTTGTTATACAAAACAGGAGTGTTATTGCCATTTGCCAGGGTTAGAGTCACATATCTGTGCTGCTGTGTGACTCAAGAGGGCTGAAATTTTATTATGCTATTTTTAAATGCTAAAATGAACGCAATATTTAGATTTATTATAACGGTATTGCACTTAAAACAGGGTTTAATGCTCTTATTCCATAGGGGCTTTCTCTAGATTACTAAGACAATTAAACCCTGTTTGCAGGGAATTAGTGCTGCCAAAAGAGAACATGTTCTCGATTTACTGTATAATATGTGCATAATTTTGTCACGTTCATACGAGGCATCTGATCTCACAAGAAATTTAAGGGTAAACTGTGAGTAAAAAGCTGTGTCTGTACAACATGACCAAAATACATTAAGTGCAATTGAACTATCCTTTGGAGGGAATGTTGTTTAACTTGTCTTTATTAGTATGATAAAACATTTCTTACAAAGTCTCAGAGTTTGTTGTAGGAGATGGAGTTTTTTAAAGGCAGCTCAGTTTTGAAGAGAACAAAGACATTCATGAGGAAACAAGCAAAGCATGGATAAAATGAAGTGTTCAAATGAGAATTTCTGTTTTAGAGGTTTAAGCCTAAAAATCGGAAAGCAAACATGTTTGAGACCAAGCCAAGGTGAATAAGTGAATCATTCAAATGCATTTATATTGTAGCCAATATATATCTGATGTGAATAGTATTGTCTTAAGTGTTTGCATAAATGTTTGTTTTTGTCATGCCCATGAGCAAAGAAACATTGAAGTGCACGACTGAATGAATATTGCTCTATAAAATAGCCAACATTTACTGTTAAGTATTCTGTATATGTATCATTATTAAGGGCCAAGCACAAAGGGTTCAAAGGTGAGGATTCTAAAAAGGATTTGAGGCTGTATCTCAGAAAAAAATTTATGCCATTAGCACAATCACATATTAAAAGGCTGACAGCGCCACCTGTTGGTCAAAAATTATGAGTAATTCTATTTATGGACTTAAGCTTGAAGTCCTAAACTCCTCACCAGAAATTCTATGTCCTGTCTGACTTGCATAACATTTACATGATGTTTTTGCCGCTGTGCCTGGTCCTGTAATTGCTGCTTGCAGCTATATTTATAATAAAAATTATTATTATTATTATTATTACAACAATCAGTTCGATGAGGAAGATAAGCAATTAATTCTTTATATCCCATGAGAGATCATATAAAAAATGTTGGAAAAATTTCAGAAAAGGAAAAACAGGTTGTGTATTTTTGTGTGTTTTTTAAACTTTATTTATTATTACCTTGCAAATTATTTAATAAATAAGTCACTGGGTACATAGTTAAAAGGTGATTCTAATACGATGGCTTTAAACCATTGACAAATTGTGTTTGGATATAATTTCATGCCAAAGCATGATGTAAAATGGAAGTGCAAGAAACGCATATTCTGCTGTGTAACAGAAAGTTTGTACTAAAATGGCCTCATAATGTGTTCACTGATCTGTTACAGAATTCAGTGAGGCAAATTAATATATTAAATATGAAATGATTTCCCTGCCTTTGAGCTTTGATGACTGCAGTGAACCCGTAACTGCATTTAACAATCTGTGTCACAAGAAAACTGAAGATTACTGTAAATAGTAAAAACTTTAGTTACTGTGTATTATTCCACTGCATGTGAAAGTAAAATGTGAATAGTATGTTTCATGTATACACTGTAAAATATAATCTTAAAAGGAAATGCATTTAGATAATTTGCACAAAGATAATTTGCCATATTAGAAAGTATTAAATGAATAGGCTTTGACACAGATGTGTTTTTTTAAGGTTAATAGTTTTACAGTGTATTTTTGGGTGGAAAATTACCCATTTTCATCAATAAAGTTTTATATACAAACAAAATAGTTTTTGTTTATTCCTTTAATCAAGTTACACTGCAAATTTTTTTTAACAAATGCATACTCTTTTAGCCAGATATATTAATTTTAATTTGATTGTTTTTGAAATTCATACAGGATCGGAATCACTGCATTGTTCATTGTTCTTACTAATGTATTTATATATTAACATGTAATGTAATGGCCCTGCATTGACTGATGCACTGAAATTTACAGTTTGGTTTATTTGTTAACAGATTGGGTTCCATAAAAATAATTCATGTAATGGTGGCAGGATGAAAAATTAACCAGGGTTTAGGGAAGATGAATCCGAAGTGAGGGAGGACAAGTGATACCTGTTTGTGATAAGAGTAGATAGTGTTTTGAATCTAAAACACAATTATGAATTTTAATACCAATAATCAGGTTTTTTTTTTTTACAAACTCAAAACACAAACTGTTTCATTGAAATATTGATTTAATTTACTTTGAAGAAATCTCATTAAGAAAAATATATCAAATCAGAAAATGCAATTAATAGATCATGCAGTCACTAAAATGCAGTCACTAAACCCGTAAGAGTGAATCCTAAAGTCCATCAAAGCAGTCATTTATTGTCGATCTGGACTATGAAGATCTCTGCAGCTGCTCGTGACCTTTAGGAGTGAGAAATTGTGCAAAGTAAATAAAATGTGCAATTTTCAGTGAAAAGAGAAGTCAGTTTAGAAACACAATGTTTGCACTCACCCCTTTTTTTAAGCCGCCTCATCAAGTTTACAGGAACCTGAAATAAATGATATATGTATGATAAATCTAGTTTTACATAAACTATAAGAACAACATGCTCATAATATCATCAGATTGCCGGCCTTTGTTTTGCAATACTTAAGTTACATGCTCAAGAATGAAATGTGTCAGACACAAACTTTGGCCAACCTTTTTGCAGAGGTGCCTGTACGAAATCTTCCATATATACACACTCCATTTTTGACTTAAATTCCTGTATCACTTCATCTGGTATTTTTTCACTACGAGCTGCAATGGAAGCCAGACAAACAGACAGACATTATGAATAAAAGTTAGTTGTGTAACTGAATCCCTTTCCATTGGTGGTGAGTGTACATGCAGCACATATTCAGTATTAGAGGTTATAGAGGTTTCAGAGGTGGGTGCATGTTGAATTATATGTGTGTGCATTTTGTCTTTATTCATGTCCAGTTTAACATGTTGCTTTGATCACATAGGTGGAGGGATCATGATCAAAGATGATACTGACCAAATAACATAGCACTTGTTTTCTCGTCTTCATCCACAAACAGTATTATGATGCAGGAAGAGCAGTTTATGAACTTGCCATCCCAGACCAGTGCAAGAGTATCGTAATCTGCTCATACAAAGACACATTTTAAAGGGGAAAATGATATCATGAGAAATGATTAATCTTTTGAAATAAACATAACTAAATTATGATTCACATTCTAAAAGGATCTCTGAGAAGGAAATAGCTTGATATGAATCAATCAACCCAATCTCACGGTAAAACGTAACTTAGGCTAACTAGCTTATTTTATGATTTATGAATTCGTATGTAAACTGAACGAAAATGAACGATTTCTAGAAAAAAGTTAGGCACGAACACGAAGGTCCCCTTATCTAACCGCCACTGGGGGGTAAACAGATCGCACGAATTCATACAAATTAGACCCAAAACGCAAAATAGTTACAAAGTACCATGAGATTGTCTTGCATGAACCCTTTATGTGATGTTAAACATGAATAATAAATGTTGAATTATCAGGTTGTACGTTACACCCGTTCCTACCAGTTCTAAACAGCAAAGGATCCATCAGAGGCATAGTGAAATAGGTCCAAGTATTTTTCTGACACTGATCTCCACTGTGGTGATACAAAAAAAAATATTTTAATATACTTGAAAAGTAATAGAACAGTCCATATGTCAGTGTGTGTGTGTGTGTGTGTGTGTGTGTGTGTGTGTGTGTGTGTGTGTGCAGTTTTCCACTCACACACGAGAGGATTCAGTCACCGTCAGGGTGTCGTTAGCGCCTTTCTGGATGTGAAGCATAGAGTTGTCGGTGGTTTTGAATGATTTAAGATCGTCTTCATCCCATACAGCAGCTGCCACAAAATGCCAAGAGCCCATATACTGCACAGGATTTTAAAAAATAAATATTTTAACAAAATTGGGACAAGAAGAAGGATATCTGATATCTACAATAAATGACAATATTTTTTGCCACTTAACTAGGCGAATAAATTCAGTTCATGTGTCAAATTCTTAATAATCACACAAATCTATTACAAACAACTCTACATTCTTCCACATAGCAGTGCGATTTTAGTTTTTATTTAGGTTTATTATAGTTTTATTAATATTAATTTGAATTAGCTTATATTTTATGTTTTTCATGTTAATTCATTTTAGTTAATTTTTTAGTCATTTCACTGTGCTTTTTAAAAAAAATATTGCTATTAAGGTTTTATTTATTATAGCCTATTTTCATTTATCAATATTTATATTTTATTTTATTTAAGCTTTATTTCAATGAACAGAAATGTTTTTAATAGCTTTAGTTTTAGTTAATGATAATAACCCTGCCACAAAGCCAAGACTGACTTTGGTGACATTACTGTGCTGCAAGGTCAAGATCATGCAGCGTTCAACACGCACAATTCAGACATTTTATGTAACCAGTCACTAAACTTTTTACTACATTAATGAATCTACAGAACATCTTGAAACTGAAGCAGGCATTTAGCCCAAGATGAGGCCCGTGAAAACAAACGGCACAATATTTACCAGATTTTGTTCAGCTTAGAAAATAATCACTATACAGTACAAGATGCATTAAGTAAAGATGTTAAAGGGTTAAATCCTCTTACCTCATCAGTAGTAAAAACAGAAGCGGAGAGAGGGGCTGGAGGAAGACATGGCACCATGACCTGCATCCCAGCATAAAACAGACCAACTAGTGAGCCGAAGGCACCCCATAATGTGCTCATAAGCATGGCTGCGTCAATGAAAGCGATACACAACGAATGCTGATGTCTTCTAACTGACTTCTAACTGACAGATGCTTAGACGGAGATGTTTTAATACAGTGCTCGAGGGGACTTTCACCCCGATTTGTTAGCCTTTCTCTGTTTGTTCTATATTCCTGTAATGGTTGTTTTTGTGTTTGTCAGGGCACTGTGCAAATACACCCCCATTACACCTGACCTTGTCCTGGACCACTACCCATGCACCCTGCAGAAAAATACAAGCCAAAACATTCAAAGGGAGGACTATGTGACAGTGTGGTTTAGTTTTCTTAATGTCTCACAAATAAATCTTGATGGTAAAAAAGAAATATCACAGAAGAGATCACTTACTGTTTCTCTTATAATGAGATGAAAAAAAATAAAATAGAGACTTCTGCTTTAGTCCTATTTTTTAATTCAATGTATTTTTATCGTGACCTTTGGAGCAACAGTTGCGTTGCTCTTCAGTGCAAAATTCAGCCTTGTCACTGTCACTTTGTAATCAAACCTTGGAGTTATTGAACCTTTTTTTTTTTTTACAATTTGTTCAAATACATTCCCTGGATGTCTATGTGTAAAGTGTACATGATTTTGTGGAAATACATTTTCACAAAATTAACTTTTGATATTTGTCCGCTGCAGAAAATTAAACAAACAAAAAACAAATAACTATTGATTTCACTGTGACTTTGTAAGGCGGGTGCCAGTAAGTCTGGGCTACCCGTGAGAAAGCAAAAGGCTCTCCTGAGAATTAACTCTCTCTATGCAACAGCAACATCCAAAATGCACCACACAGTGCAGCTCACACCTCACTCTTACAGTCTCATCATCTCCTCCTGCTCCCCCTCTTCTCCTCCTCACTTAAAACTCACTAAAAAGTAATGTTAAATGTGTACAATAAGTAATAATACATGTTTGGTAGCCTATCATTTGAAATGTCTCAGTGCGACTGGTACAATGGTCTCATTCCAAAAGAAGTTAAAGTTCTTGAGAGTTTAGAGATAACTTGAATTTCCGTTTAGAGATGCAAACGTGCTGCTTGACCAACCTAAATGTTCTGTTTTCATTTAATGTTACTTTAGATAAGTGTAGGCCTATACGTCACATCTATGTTTTGTTTTAAGCTGCATATTAGGCTATGTAGTTTTATTGTTGCAGATTTCCGAGACAGATGATGTATGAAGTTGAATTTTATTTTATTTTTTGTGCACGTGAATTTGGTTTTATGCATGTGTAATTGTCTATGCATGTGTGAATCAAGTTTTTTTTTGAGTGAATTATTAATGAGACTGATTTGGCTCCATACTATGGACATTAATGTAACATTAAAAAACATTATATTTCAGAATGCACAAGCCAACATTGAATAAATATTGATTTTCCATCTGAAATTTTAATGCAAAATAATGAATCACCATTAACGTTACCATATCGATGAAACCTTGTTGATGGCAACAACATTGGAACACCATTGATCTATAGTTATCTTTATGATTGATTAAGCATTAATATTTGGATCAGATACTGCCTATTTAGCTATGTACAGACATGTATTTCGAGCTAGCTATAAAAAAAAATAGACTGGACTCGGAGGTTTTGCTATTAACTTTGTAACCGGTTGGAAGCGTTGTAACCCGTTGGATAGCCATCAGGACAAGTTACATCAATTTGGCAGATTTTGACATTGGTTTAACAAAATCTATTTCGGACACTATAACCACCATGTTAACGAGTGGGCTAACAGTATTTGATTTGGTACAATTCATCGATCATTAAGCAAGCTTACCTAATCGTGTCCCAAGGGTCCTGAAATGAGAGCTACGTGTCCGGTGCGACGTTGGTCTATCACCCGTTGATCTCCCGGTCAACCAAAAATCGATGGATTTTTAATCATATTTCCCGGTCAACTATATGACGATGACTTTTCAAAAACAGGTCGTTTCCCGGTCAACTCTAAATCAATGACTTTTCAACACATTTGGCAATCGCCCGGTAAACCTTTATATCAATGCTTAATCAATCATAACTAGATCAATGTTGTTCCAAATGCTTAATCAATCATAACTAGATCAATGTTGTTCCAATGTCGTTGCCATCAACATTAATAACGTCAGGTTTCATCGATATGGTAATGGTGATTCAACATTTATTTTGCACTGAAATTTCAATATCAAGGTTATTCAGATGGAAAATCAATATTTATTCAATGTTGGCTTGCTGTCTGGTTTCAATGACTGTTTGCTATCTGGGGCACGGTGGTTGTATGATATTCTGGCAAAATATTATTTTTCTTCTTCTTCTGGGCTTTACACTCCTTCCCAGTAGGTGGCGGAAATGCGCCTAAAGTTTGCCAACCGCTAGAAAACAAAAGAAGAACGAAGACGGTTGTTCAAAACAGATTCGATCAACGAACTACATGTCTCTCAAACAGAACCAGGAAACTACTTATACTCTTTAGATCGGGAAAACGAAACGTATTTCTCTTTCGGCTATTGTAGGCTTATCTCTGTCTGCGTGGGCATACAATACAATGGCAGAATCCAGTATTTCAGTGGCTCAGAATCAGTTCAATTGTTCAGTCTGTCTGGATCTACTGAAGAATCCAGTAACCATTCCCTGTGGACACAGTTACTGTATGAACTGTATCACAGGCTGCTGGGATCAGGATGATCAGAAGGGAGTCTACAGCTGCCCTCAGTGCAGACAGACCTTCACTACAAGACCTGTTTTAGGTAAAAACACAATGCTGGCTGAAGTGGTGGAGAATCTGAGGAAGAGAAAACTACACAACGATCAACTTGATCACTATTACGCTGAACATGGAGTTGTGGGGTGTGACGTCTGTACTGGGGACAAAAACAAAGCCATCAAGTCCTGTCTGGTGTGTCTGGAATCTTACTGTCAGACCCATTTTGAACGTCACGAGGAATTTCACTCTAGAAAGCGACATAAAATGACTGACGCCATTGAAAGACTGCAGGAGATGATCTGCCCTCAACATGACAGACTCCTGGAAATGTTCTGTCGTACTGACCAGATCTGTGTGTGCATGCTGTGTATGGCGAATGAACACAAAACCCATGATACCGTATCACCTGCTGAAGAGAGGACTGAGAAACAGGTATGAAGCAAGAGCAAAGAGTAAACTTATTTCCTCCTTAATTATATGCCCCCACCCGACCCCCAAAAAATTATATTGCAATATATCTAAATTTGCTGTGTAGATATGAATGGATAAAAAGGAACTAGTTTTCAAATTTAGAATTAAGAAATCCCATATGTCCACAGCAGACAGTCAGACAGTGTTACTGTAATTTTTCCCCCTACAGAATCGCTTGGAAGAGACCAAGAGAAAATTCCAGCAGAGAATCGAGGAGAGACAGAAGGAACTTGAGGAGCTGAGAGAGGCTGTAGAGTCTCACAAGGTGAGTTTAAAGCAGAAGAACTGCTGGAAGAGCTGTTTCACACTCAGTTAGGACTCTCCTCCAGTCAGTCCGTGAGGAGCCAGTGCTGGAGCTCTTTCAGTCCCACTGAAGCCCACTGTGGGGAACAGGCTGTGTGAGGGACCAGTAAGAGCTGAGTGAATGGACTGGTTCTAATGGGTCTCTGTGTGTGCCCTAACAGCGCTCTGCACAGGCAGCAGTGGAGGAGAGTGAGAGCATCTTTACTGAGCTGATCCGCTCCATTGAGAGAAGCCGCTCTGAGGTGACACAGCTGATCAGAGACCAGGAAAAGATTCTTATAAGTCAAACTAAAACACTCTTGGAGAGATTGGAGCAGGAGATCGAGGATCTGAGGAGGAGAGACGCTGAGCTGGAGCAGCTTTCACACACAGACCATCACATCCATTTCCTCCAGGTAACAGAGATCTGAAAAACAGAATGTTGTGTTTTAGGAAGTAGGAATCTGATTTTCCTTCTGTTTGTCTTTGTGTCTGTGTAGAGTTTCCAGTCTCTCTCTGTCCCTCCTGGATCTACAGACTCGTCCAGCATCACTGTCAGTTCTCGTCTTTCTTTTGATGATTTAAGAACTTTTGTCTCTCAGTTGCAAGAGAAACTGCAGCATACTTTTGAAGAAGAGAAAGAAAAGTTATGTAGAATAGGTAAAGTATTGAATCATGCATTTACTCCCAGTTATGTCAATATAATGAACGTAATGTGATCCTACATCAAATTGCATTAAAATACAGGTGGATAAAAATGGATATTATTTTTACATTGAAGATACACTCCACAGTGCATTTGCCTTTACTCTCGTCAATATAACATCAATATAATGAACATCATAAAAACAATATAATCCTTCAACACAATGCATTATAAAACAAGATGGAAATGAAATATTTTTACATTGAAGATGTACATTGTCTGTTGGTTTGCACAGTGAGATACATCGAGGTGATTCCCACCCCTGAATACGAGAGCAGGAATGAGTTCCTACAATGTAAGTTTTTTTCATAAACATGAGCGCGCACACACAGAAAGAGAGGATGGAGAGAAAGCCAAAACAGTTGTTTTATCAAAAGGAATAAAAAACTATTCTTTCTGAATAAATATCTAAAGTGTGGTACACTTGCTAAAGATTAACGTTTTAAATTTTTTTTACAGACAATACAAAAATCTAAGTCTCTAAAATATAGTAAAATCAGTGTAATATTTAGGTTAACCCAATAACACTGCTTAATTTATAACAAATGAAAAAAGTGATTTTTTTTATTTATTGTTTGTCATTGTTTTCTTGATTTCATTATTGCACATCATCAATCACATTACATTAATGAATCATGAAAAAAGCTTATTTGCTGTGTTAATGACTTACTGATTGAAATGTGTTTGGTTTTCAGATTACCAGCGGTTCACTCTGAATTCAGATTCAGCCCATAAATACCTCAGGCTCTCTGAGTTGAACAGAGTGGTTACTAACATAAAGAAGGTCCAGCGGCATCCTAATCATCCAGACAGATTTTCTCATTTGTGTCAGGTGTTGTGCAGAGAGAGTGTGTGTGGACGCTGTTACTGGGAGGTTGAGTGGAGTGGTATCGTGGATATTACAGTGTCATATAAGAGCATCAAAAGGAAGGGATGGGGAGATGACTATGAGTTTGGCTGTAATAATCTGTCCTGGTGTTTAATCTGCTCTGAATCCGGTTGCTCATTCGGTCACAATTACAAACTGACTGAACTCCCTTTAGACTCCATCTCCTCTAGAATAGGAGTGTATGTGGATCACAGTGCAGGAACTCTGTCCTACTACAGCGTCTCTGACACAATGACCCTCATTCACAGAGTCCACACCACATTCACTCAGCCGCTCTATCCTGCTTTTTTGATTTGCTATAATTCAGAAGTTACATTTTGTGATTCAGCCTAATAATCACAGACCTTTTAACACATTCAGTATTTTTCCACTATTGTGTTCTGAGAAATGTGAGGATAGGTTAAACACGGTTCGGCATGATATGATTGCAAACTGTTCACGGTCCGGATTTCTCGGCAAGTGCTGGTGGAACCCCTGTAGTGATGAGACTATGCTTTTCTAGTATAGTAGCCTATGTGATCTTTCTACATGCCGTATTCATCAGTGATAGAAGTCAATAAACCTTTTTTCCTTTTCCTAGTTTTATGTCATTATCATCTATAACACCTTCGTTCCAGTGTGTACCCAGAGCAGGGTGTTTTTAATATGCTTTGAGTCAAACTATGTGCAAATTCATAAGTCAACACCATTGCTGAGTATTTTCTTCTTAAACCTTCAGTGAAAAAATGCAGTTTGAAATCGCTGGTGATCTCTACATCACAAACTACATTGTAACCAATCACATCAATGTGCGGGCTGGCTTTAGCATATCATTAACTATGCAGCGAAGCAGGGGAGTCTCTTGTCCTGGTATATTTTTCTGTTGATATAAAAAATCAGGTACATTATCAATATTGTGGGCTAATTATGTATATTACGATGTTATTATGAATTATATGCCTTTCTCCACTGACGTTCTAATTTGTTCGAAGCATTTCATAGGGATATTGATTTAAAGAAGGACTGACTGAGGTGGCGAACGAGAACCTGATTTGTGTTTCATTAGCAACACATTATTAGCTGTTTGATAATGTAGTCAGAAAAAGGCTAATCATATTAATTACCGTTATGTGTCCGACGTAGTGAGCGGTACATAAAACGCATTACCATTCTGATACATGGACTTGTAGACAAGCCTGTATAATTCACTCTTCCACAGAATCAGTTTTTAGTTCAAACACAAGGTTGAATTAAACCAGTATTTCCACTTGCCATTGTGCAGCGTTTACTACAGTACAGTTGAGCGAGTGGATCATGTATTCTGAGCCCGTGTGAGTGGAGATGGGGCTAATTTGCATATTCATTGATGTATTTATGGAAGAAATACATATATGTAAAAAAAAAAGAATGTCATCATAATAGCTCAGATCATAGACAAACAGCTGGCTTGCACACTCAGTTACTAATAAACCTTATTTCTGCACTTTAGAGAAACATTCAACACTTCTTCATGTATTATTCATTATTTATTTATTACTCACAATCACATTTATTTAATTAAATCATTGTCTTTAGAAATGTAATAATCACAGCACGCCATGATTCCTGTTTTTTCCGTTCCCAAATTTAAGACCACTTAAAATGGATAATATCTTTGTTATACCATTTAAGACCTTTAATGACTTTAAATTTGATACAAGTAAATTTAACAGGACCCCCAGGGACCCTGAAAAACGTTGCCATTTGATGTGCATAACCTAGATTTCATTTTGTTTTCCTTTATGACTTAAGATAATGATCCTTTTTGTTTCCAATGATGATTTATTTGTAAATATTTTTTGTATCATATAACTCGTATAACTAAGCAAATAGCCAGTCTGCATCCAACCAACCAAGAAAGATCTAAAACAGACATCATGTAAGCACCCAGCAACTTTTAGAGATACACATATTGGGTTCTATTTTAAAATCAGATTTTGTTTTATTTATTACTGAAATTACGTGTTGCGTGTTTTAGCGTGGCACTGCACACAATTCATATGGCTGGGGACAGTGCGTGGCCCCCAGTTTAAAATCCAGTTTGGGCTCCAAACCCGCTGGTGAAGAGAAAATGAAGCGCTGCAGCAGAGAGGAGAAAAACAGGAACAACTCCATCCGTGCCAGTTGCTCCCCAAGACACACTCTCTTTCCTGAAAATCAGAGAAGATGATGGGGAATTATAATGGGGGTCTTGTACAGCATTATCAAGGTATATATATTTGGATTACTTTTGTGGAAATAGAATTAGCCTATACCTAGAGAAAAAGGTAAAAAGGCATCTCTCCTCCTGAAATTGCCTTCAGCATCCAGGAAGTGACCTGGGTTAAAAGCATGTGGCGTCTCCCACTCGGACTCATCAAACAGCACTGATGTCAAACTGCCGGTCACTATTGTGCCCTACAGAACCACAAGAGGCTTAACAAGAGTGAAATTATACACACTATTCTTAATGTGCTTAAACTAATAGGTTCTGCTCAAGTTCACATTCTCATAATACTTTAAACATTACTAGGCCCATGCACCTTTGGGATAGAGTATTTTCCTATCTGAGTATCTTCCACAGTAGCCCGGACCACATTTATTGGGATAATATTTCCAATCCTCTGTATCTCATGAATGACAGCATTGGTGTAGGGCATGCTGTCCTTGTCTGATAAAGATGGCTGCCGTGACTCTCCCACAACACGATCAATCTCCTCCTGAACTTTGGCTGAAGATACCAAATTTAGAGAGAGTGTGAGTACGTATTACTTTTAATGTCCATATGAATGTCATTACTCACAGTAAACTCTCACCCTGTATCTCAGGATATTTTATCATGTAGAGAAGACCCCAGTACAGAGTGGTAGCGGTGGTCTCAGTTCCCGCTACAAACAGATCTAGAGTACAGATGCACAGGTTCTCCACATCAAACCCAGCGGCTGTGTCATTCTTAAACTAAACATGAATGAGAGGCATTTCAATTCAATAGCCATATACATTATTATTACCAGAGCATTCCTGTACCAGCTCACTTACTGATGCCCCCTCCTCAAAAAGGGTCTTACTTTTTCAATCTCAGCAAGAAAGCAGTCAATGTAGTCTCGAGGATTTGATGGATCATAATCCGCTTTGTGTACATTCACCTTCTCTCGAACAAAGCCAATCACTTCTTTCCACAGAGCAATAATTTTCTTGTGCGGCCCAGGCAGTCGTCGCATGAGCCATGGGAACATATTATAAAGCTAAAGAAATTAAAACAAAAAGTAGATGAGCAGTGAAATAAAGCAAAGTTAACTTAAAATGAGAAAATGTTTACTTGAGCAAAGACCCCTCCTTCCAGATAAACAGCTTCACTGATGTTCTTTAACAGAGACTGGAAGCCATGGTCACTGTATTCAAATCGATTACCAAACACAAGGACACAGATCACATTTGAGACAGCATTGTTCAGCAGAAAGCGAGGGTCAAATGGTCGACCTGGAACAGTGGTTGTTGTAAATCACACTGTGCTTACAATTTCAAATGTAATTGTCACATTATTTTCAGTCAACATACATCAGTAGATAGTTACCTTGTTCATTTGAAATGGCTTCATTCAGAAAGCAACACTCAAGACTGATGGATGGCTCTAAACTTTTCTTCCCCAATCCGAAGTTTCGAAGAGTTGAGAGTGCAAATCTCCTCTGATGATTCCATTTATAGCCATTGGCAACAACTAAACCTGTACACAAAACAAACCCAGTTAATAGATAACTGACAATTTATGGGGAAATGTTAAACCACAAATTTAACATTCTGATATTAAACTGACCTCCGTCTCCAATGATGTCATAAAATAAAGGTAGTGAGGGTCGATCAGCGAGGTTATCACCCTGTTGTGTATAGACCTCCTTCACTAGTTTATATCCATCCAACACAACAATTCTTGGTCCAAGAATTTTAAGGCTGAAAATCTTGCCATATTTTTCTGCAAACTGTAAAATATGAGTTATAAATCAACATATCTTACAAATAATAGTAGGTTTCAATGGTTTGTAATACTTTGTTAATTTTAGCATGTTTACACAGACTATAATGACGTCATTTTTGTCATATAATAACATTAATTGAAGATAAACGACAAGCTATAATAGACACTTTAGCCACGTTTTCCAACATTCTGTTATGTTTAATCATTTAAAGGGACACTCCACCCAAAAATGAAAATTCTGTCATCATTTACTCACCCTCAAGTTGTTGCACAGACTGGTCTCATGAAATGGCGTATGTATGACACGCCAATTCGTATTTCCATTTTTAGCGTGCTATCAACACGCATAATCGCTTTTCAGCGTGTTTATCAACGCCGTTGACTTAACGTTACATTACTGTATATATAAATATATGACCTACCCCAACCCCGTTCCTAAACCTACCCGTCACTGGGGTTAATACCATTTATGAGTCTTCCCCTACCATCCTAGGAAAAAAAATATCGCTCCCCAGATGTAGATCTACATTTTGCTTCGTTTCGCTCGGACATTAAACGGCGTGTACATACACGCGGAATCACTCGGACATTTAACGGCGTAGACATACACGCAAAAGATGACGGTTCGTTTCAGCGTGGACATACACGCGGATAGCTCAAAATGCGTATAGATAACACGCCACTTTCAAGTCAAGTATGTTTACGCAAAGTCATGATGCCATGTTGTGTTGCAAACCTGTATGAGTTTCTTTCTTCTGCTGAACACAAAGGAAGATATTTTGAAGAACAATTGGAACCAAACAGTTGTTTCACGAGTTCACACTTACGTACAATTAAAGGAAATAAAGTATAATGCGTATTTGGCGTGCTGTCCGGGGGGAGGGCTCCGAGCTCGGAATTCGGCCCGAACCCAGAGTACTCCCCCCTGTATGTAAAGTGGTTTAGGACTAGAAGAGTGGAGAAGGGGTGGTGGAGGGACGCTGCTAAACTGTCAAGAGAAATGAGATGAGACTGCTGAGTCTATATATACACGTTTTAATCATGATTGCTGATTGCTCTCCACCCGTGTTAATTATCTGAACGTGCTTCTCCCGAACTTTGTAAATAAAACATCATTTGGCACCATTGACTTCCATGGTAGAAAAAATATATATACTATGGAAGTCAATGGTGGCCCACAAATGTTTGGTTCCAATCGTTCTTCAAAATATCTTCCTTTGTGTTCAGCAGAAGAAAGAATCTCATACAGGTTTGCAACAACTTGAGGGTGAGTAAATGATGACAGAATTTTCATTTTCAATGGGCTCTATGCACGGCGATATTTCCGGTGAAGGTCTAAGGATGCTGGATTACTTCCGCCGATCGTAGAGTCCAATGCTATACCGAGAATTTATATTGGTTTTTATACTTTATTGCTATACTAAAGAAACGTTAGTCACAAAAACAGACAAAACAGACACCCCTCATTTTGTTTATGCTTCTTTGTTTATTATATTAAATAAACATAACTATATATAAAATTACATCCAAACGTATTAAAGTTTCGTTTCAAAGACGAGAGGACAGTAAATTTTGAAAACTCTGCTATAATCCCGTTTTCCTCGGTTTTCCTCCGCTTTAAATCTCCCCAACCGGAAACGCAAGAGCATCCTTGCATCAAACGCGGAAGTTATGCGTGCATATAGCCCATTACCCTTTAAGATTTATTAATTTAAACCCTGGCTAGCTGGTTTAACTAGTTTTAGCCAGACTGTGTAACATTCCCACCCAGCCTGACTGGCTGAAAATAATGTTGTCAGAAATTGAGCTCCTGAAATAATAATGAGTATACTGAAGTATTATCTACTATTTTTCATGATTAATGCATTCTGTTATAACTTTAACATGTTTGGGATATTCCACTAAGAACCCATTACAAAGGGTGCTATGTTCACAGGGTCAGCGACAGGGATCAAGTGGTGCTCACAGCAATGATATCTCAATATCCCTCCTCGTTTCCTCGCTCCTCTGTCCTCCATCCTATGACCCAGAAACCAATCGAGCTCAGCCATCTTGAAGGAAATCTCAATTCTCTAATCACACTGCGAGGATCGAGGAGTGAGGAGGCTTCCAGAGGAGTCATAAACGAGGATACACAGGTGTTAAACAGAGTTTTATCGACTAAATGAGACGCACATATCAATTTTCCTCCCCCTTTAAACCACACATCTCACATATTTCAACAACAAGGTATCTTGCTTTATTATTATTTATAATGAATTTCTTAAATAACCAAACTTCAACACCATAAGGGCAGATCCTTTGAGCGCTGCTGATAATGGTGAAGTGATACTCGAGTGATCAACTATTCCAAATTGTATAAATAAGCTTTCCTTTGATTCCTCCGTCCTCGTTTTCTTAACTTGCAGCCTTCCCTCGCATCCTACAGGGCGTGGAGCTGAGACGAGAGGAAAGGAAACGAGGATGCACAAATAAGAATTGAGAAGCACCCCAGCTTCTCCTCTCTGGAGCTCTAAGGGGGTGGAGGGAGGGATTGAGTTGTGGGTGGGGTTAGGGTGTAGAATATCCAACCACACTCACCCTAACCCCACCCACAACTCTATCCCTCCACCCGTTAGACATGCAGACATGCTAATAAGGCAAGCCCTTTTAACATTTAAAAGCTAAGTTTGACTATCCGGAATTAACATTGTAGATATCAACAACGTCTTTCTGACTAGTCGTAATTACATTTTGGATAGTTGGTATTGTAAGTCCGTCTAATTCGATCCAATGGCGGTATCGATTAGAGGTGAAGGTCTCAACGCGCGTTCCGTCTTTTCCCATGGCAAGGAGATTTTTAATTAAATGCAATACATTTTGTTTTATGTATTAACTCGTTTCATCTGACTCCATAAAATGAAAGTGTTTTTCAATGATATCTGTGCATCATTAAGTATACGTTAATGTTTGACTATTCCTTTTAACTCCAATGAAAATAAAGTCAAAGTCTGTTAGAATAATCAAATATAACAATTTATTATGTCAGGTAAATGTATTATAACAATTCCATAATCAATTGAAAGATAATCAATGCAAATCATCAAATGTTCTAGAACAAAGAGGAAAATCTTTTACCCGACATGAAATACATGAATGCTGAGTCTCGGCGACTCAGCATCCACGGGCTGATCTGAGATACAGAAAAGGCACGATCCCTTGCTGCATTCCATTAAATAGCCAGACCTCATTTCATATGTAAACCTGTGTTCACAGTGGAAATTTACTGTTCACCCCCCCAGACTTACTGGGGGCAGAGGTTGATTTACATGGTACCATTTGCTAACAGTGGAAATTAGCATTGAGTTCACACCTTCTGAGAGCAGGAGGGTTTACCCATCCACCCTCCTTTGTGTGTATGTTATCTAAAAACTCTTAAAACCCTTATTACCTTTGTTTTACTTATTTGGAATGAGACATCTGAACCAGCCACCCTGAGACCTTTAAAATGATACTATACACAATAATCATTCACATTAAACCATATCGTCGCTGCCCGATGAAACTCACGTATGTCCAAAACGGTTACTTTTCAGGAAGTGAAAAAAACACGTAATTTCAAAAGCAGTTGAACGTAGCGTTGTCATACTTGGTACGACAACTTTAAATGTAACCATATTCTTGCCAGTGTAATGATAAAATCCACATTTGACCAAAATTGAGTTTAAATGGACATACGTGCATATTTTACAGTAACGGTGGTCGATACGCGTTTTCCCGATCATTAATTAGAATGACCCAGTCGCGTTTCATATTGACAGATGAATAGGCTACGCTCAGTTTATTAAACAGCCTACGTCTCAGTTTATTAATACGGTCAGTTTATTATATGTCTCTTGCAAACTATGAAGGGACAATGAATCAATACATTGACATGGCAATGATAGAATGATACTATGAGGGGGAAGCACAGGCGGAGCACTGCTACTTGGGCGCAGAGATCAGCTATCAAGCAACACCTGAAATAAAGCTTGCAAATTTGTTGATGAAAACATTGATTAAAATGAAGATACAATTTATGCAAAACGAAATTTTCAAGCAAAAATAATATTCGAAGATCGCTGGGTATTATTTGATTATTAGCATGTGAGCAAAGCGGAGTGGTGTGACGCTTATAAGTTAAAAAACTTACCATACGTTAACATTTCATATTTATGTTTAAATAATACAATGTTATTTTTTTATTTATTTCATCTATGTTGATTATATGAAAACGGAACCGCATGAGATGAGTAAGAGGATCATAAGATGACCAATTAGGCCTATATCGGAAAACATTTGGAATGGGTCAGATTTTGATCTACTAAGTTTTGTTTTGTAGAAAGCCTTTCTTTAAATTTTATTTCGTTTTGTATAAATTGTATCTTCATTTTAATCAATGTTTCATCAACAAATTTGCCTGGATTAATAAATAAGCACTTCATTTGAAGTGTGAATTTTTCTCTATAGGCGCGTTCACTACTGCGAAGATGGCGAGTCTGTATCGTCAACTTTATCAACAATTCAAATGTTTCACAATCATTACTTTCGCCGGTTCTTTGTGGCAAGCTTTATTTCAGGTGTTGCGTGATATCTCTGTGCCCAAGTAGCAGTGCTTCGAAACCATGTTCGAAACTTCACGAGACCGGCGAGATGCATCCACAGGGTGGGAGATACGCGGCGTGATTGACAGCTTTGACACCAAATGGATATACGTGAAAATCAGATGACATGATTTCACAACTTTTCATTGGTCATTTAGATAATGTGAAGCATGCTGTATACGGAAATGAACCTGGACATTATATCCGTCAAAAAATCTCAAAATCGGCAAAATGGACATACGCGGTTTTCATCGGACAGCGACGATATATATATTCTTATGTGAGTTTTAGCTGTTACTGGGTGAGGGAATGAAATGTAAATCAGGTGAGACTGCGTGAGGGGGAGGTCGAATGTTAATTTTCAGCAAGTTCCTTTGTTTCA